AAATCAGACTTCACTATCAAAATATTTTTGGCACCTGAAGGAAACAAATAGGACACCAAAAGTTAAATGGAAAATCATTGACAAGGCTAGAACATGTAAAGCTTGGGATGACCCATGCCCTTTGTGCCTCCATGAAAAATTACACATTATTAAACTTCTAAATAATAATAATCTATTAAATAATAGACACGAGTTAACGGTTTTTTGTAGACATCATCAGATTTTTGGTTTGAATTATTAGATAAAAAAAAAAAATTATAATAACTTGTTTAACAAATAGCCCAATCATCAGATTCATAGTAGGAATAATTAACTACAAACATGCATACAACATAACACACTTCATAATCCATAGCCTAAATTAGTAGTTTAAATACCTTACATATAAGATAACCCTTTATGAAGTCGTCAAAAAACAAACGTTACGAAAGTTTTTTCTTTTTTTATATGCACAATTCCCTTTCATAATAAAATAAAATAAAATAAAATAAATAAATCTCCATAGACAAGCAAACTAGACGAAGGTTTATACATCTTCCGTTTCATTTTAGACACCCCCACCTTTCCCCGACTTGACATCTTGAAAGTATCTCTATACCGCTACTTATTATTAACACCCTACACTCGCCTACCCAATTTAAACAATTCGCCCTTGCTGTTACCATGGAGATTTTGATTTCAATTTTTAAAACAAGTAAATTTCAGATATACGTTATTCCAACAAAAATTTCGCTTGAAGATGGAACGGAGCCCATTTTAATTTAAACTCAATTTAATTTAAAGGATTATATTGAAGTTTTCGGCTCTTGTTTTGAAACATGAGACCTCTTATGTAGCGATTTGGAATCATATTTTAAATAAATAATTATATTTATGCTCTACTTTTGTATCGAGCACTATTTTTAAAAATAATAACTAAAATACTAAGGGACTTTGGATTATTTACCTAACCAGTTCCTTCTATTTTCTATATATATTTTCACACATATATATTTATATATATATATATATATATATATATATATATATATAAAGATATATATATATAAATTGCGTGTCAGTGTGTGTGCGTGTGTGTGTTTATTTAGAGAGCAAATTCTCTTTTAGGCATGTCTGATCAAATAAATTTCAGACATTATATCTGCTTATTTTTAATAAAATCCGCTCATACTCACGAATAACCTTCCATGTATTTCAATTAAATGATGTGAGAAATGTGCTATAACTGTGAAAATCGTTTTTTATTTCCCATGTACTTTCGATCTTCTTCCGAAGATCTTAACCGGAAATAAAACATATTATTTATTTGAAGCCCAATATCGAAGAGAATTTTCATACTAGATTTTTTTTCCACTACGAGGCGTAAGAGCCACCTAAGGTAGCGGATTATACTTAAAATGCTCACAATGAATGATGTATCTGATATGAATGAATGTGGCTCAAGTAGCAAGTGAAGAATATGATTAAGATTAAACTACCCAGAATTGGAATGTCAGCTTACTAGGTCGAATATAGAAATAAATAGAACATGGGAACCATTAATAAATAAATAGAATATAGAAGCAATAAAGTCACTCTAAATGCAGATAAACAATACATTATGTATAGATACCGGCATATTAATATTAAGACTCCAAGTTCCAGACTGAGGATTGTCCCACTGGACGTTTTATTAGTAGATTAAATATTGTTTTTAAAACTACAATAAAAACATATATTTTGATTCCGCATGTTTCTCTACTTTTTATATCATTCATTAATTTATTCAATTAATGCATTTTGCATCGCTATGGTTGCCACTCTCTCCTATTTCTATTTCAATTTTGGTTCATGCTGAGATTCCACGCAAAATAATGCAATGGCTTGCCTGTTCGTTTTGCAAACTTTTATATAAAATATTTTTAAATTAAAATATTTTGCATATTAATCCAATAAGTTTTCCGTTTTCTTTTTTGTAGATATGTCAAGCTTCATGTTCTTCAATTGGATAAAAAGTTAAAATATTTTTAACAGAAAAGACTATTTTTCACAAAGAAACGTTATTTGTTTTAATTATATAACAAATAAATCTTAAACGTGTTGTTTGAATATTTTTATTTCAATTTCACTTAGTTTCGTCCTTGTTTATTTTTTAAAAATATGTTAATAAATACGCAATTTTTTTATAAATAGAAATATAGTTTCATTTTTTGTTAAAATTTTAGCTTTTTTAATATTTGCGTTTTTATATAAAATAAATAATTTATTATAAATTTTAAAATCCTTCTTTAATCAACAAAAAGTATAGAATATTCTACAATTAATGTATTTTTCATTTATTAAATTTGCCATTGTTTATTTGAAAAAATTAATTGAGAGACGTCGAGATTTTTTCTTTTTTGATTTTTTTAATCATTTCACTCCGAGCAAGGCGGGAATGCCACTGGTGCGCAAGTGGGGAGGTGTTGACAGAGAATGAAGGTGAGAGAAAGGACTGGGTATAGCGGGGACCGAATAAATGATAAAAGCTAAACGAAGAGCAAGAAGATAGAAGATGGCGATTGACGTTGCATTTAAATTTTTGAAGATTGTAGTTATCAGGGAAGCAAGGAAACGGAACGGAGTTCCACAAGCGGGAAGTGCGAGAAAAGAAACTGTTGGTGACATTTAACTAGTAAAGTGTTAGATACAGATGCCAATGTTTAAATTTGAGATTTTAGAATAACGGCGTGTATTTTAACAATCTTTTCTGACGCTATTACATATGTTTTAACACAGATTACCAACTATGTTTTATTAACAGATTTTATTATAAAACCGACTACGAGTTATCTCGTGCTCACAATTTTCTATGTTTTTATCTGCTAGTGCAGATACGTTTAGTGTGGAAACAATGTTAAGACTTCAGTCGAAGCTATAAATCAAGCCATAAAATGGTTTTATTGCTTCAGTTGGCTATTATAAAGTTGACGTTTGAGGTCAGATTTCGTAATTGACCTCTGGCAGTCATCATTTTAAACTACCGCTCCACTGACTGCTTTTATTAAGATAAATACGTTTCTTTGCCAAAAAGTAACAGTTGATTAAAATGTCAGCAATATATCTGGCAGAATGCGCTAAGCTTAGACCAGCATTTTTTTCCTTTTATTAAATATATTTTTAGCTTTGACGGTTCGATAAGATTTTCTTTTTGTGGGTAAAAAAACTTTTTAATTTGGAATCGAGTGAACTGAATCAAAGATGGAGGCTCGATTGTCATAGGTATACAAAATGAAGTAATCTGTCTGTTACCCTGTATTGTATATATTTATAATAGTGTCCACATTGCTTCTTCCACCGCGAGGAAAGTTGGCTCTCTGTGCCGCGCCAGGAAATTTTTCTCCCCTGAATCGATACTTCAAATATACAAAACAACCATTCGCCCCTGCACGGAGTATTGTTGCCATATATGGGCTGGAGCACCTTCTGCTTACCTCGGAGTTCTTGACAAGATCCAGAGACGGATATGTAATCTAATTGGCCCTGATCTAGCGTCTCGTCTGCAGTCACTCTCTCACAGACGCGCCGTCGCCTCTCTCTGTCTTTTCTACAAATACTTCCATGGTAACTGCTCTGATGAGTTGCTCTCTCTGGTTCCCGGACTCCATGAATTCGGGCGCCTACGAGGCTGGCATCCCGCTCCCACCCTTACACCGTAGAAACCTTCAAATGTAGCCGTCTCTTCTACTCCAATAGCTTCATACCTCGCACTTCTCGCCAGTGGAACACCCTCCCCAATTACTGTTTCCCTGAAAGCTATAATCTCCAACTATTCAAATGTAATGTCAATCGGCATCTCCAATTACCTTGATCTACCCACTATCCTTCTCCTCATCCTTTCTCCTATCACTCTTATCTGCTCTCACTCCAAATCTTCCGCAACCCCCTGCGTCCTAGTGGCTTCATGCCTTGCTTGGGGCACAATGCTTAAAAAAAAATCTTTATTGTCATATTCACGACGTTTCGGTCGTTATTCTCTTCAACCTGTCATTGTCCGAACTACTTTCCCCATTTTTAGGCCAGACAACGTCGTGAATATGGCAAGACGTGAACAACAATCTAAATGATATAGTCTTTTTTTCTAAATATATATTAATTTAATTTGTAAAAATTAGTCCAGTACACGGTGGTAGTCAACCCCTTTTTTTTCAATTCTGAAACAGATTTAGTGCAAAGGACCAGATAAATTGTGGTTAGCAGGTCTTATGACGACGACAATTTCTTATCCCATGGTTGGCATTTCCATCTGCGGGCGTCGCCAACAACGTATTTATTCACAATGATATTTTTAGTATGAAAACAATGTTAAGATTTCAGTCGAAGCTATAAATCGGCTTATAAAATAGTTTTATTTTCTAATTATAAAGTTGGCATTTGAAGTCAGATTTCGTAAGTGACCTCTGACATTCAACATGTAAATTGAAAAATATTTCCTTCTATGTAAAAAGTACATCAGTAAATTGTTGATAAAAAAATTCTTAGTATATATATATATATGTGTGTGTGTGTGTGTGTGTGTGTGTGTGTGGTTTTAAGGTTACTTGCAATATTTACATTATTCGGAGTGATACCTTCAACTTCATTGCCATTTTCACAACGTTTCGGCCGTTGTACGCTCCGGCCTTCTTCAAGTGATTAGAATTTCGGAACGAACCCTTTATTTCGTCCACCGGGATAGATTGTTCTAGTTCTACGTGTCATGCCACTTCCGAATGTCTCACTTGTTTCCCTTTAATTCAACTCTCCAATTTATTGGTTCACCATTTCTGTGGCCTGGGACTGAACTCACACCACTTTGGGTGAAGTCATTCTCTTGGAGGTTAGCATCAGCCGTAAAGGCAGAAAGCGTTCTCTCAGACTATTTCTACAGAACCGTTTCGTTTTGGCGATGTTTAAATTAGCAAGTCATTCCTTGCTGCAGTTAAGAACAGATTGTAGACCCTTTTCATATCAATTTTGCCAATTTTACCTTATTGAATGGATCAGATATAACTGTGTGTATGTGTTTGAAAGAGAATTTGCTCATCAATCCCAAAAGATGAAAACAGATTTACTTGAGGGTATAGAAACAGCATTTTGTAAACACAGCTACACACACACACATACAGACGCACATACGCACATACACACGCGCGCACACACACACACACACACATAGATAGATAGATAGATAGATAGATAGATAGATAGATAGATAGATAGATAGATAGATAGATAGATAGATGAAAAGATAGATGGATAGATGATAGATAGACTAGAGATAGATAGATAGATAGATAGATAGATAGATAGGATAGATGAGATAGATAGATAGATAGATAGATAGATAGTGAAGATAGATAGATAGATAGTGAAGAGACTGAGATAGATAGATAGATAGATAGATAGATAGATAGATAGATAGATAGATAGATAGATAGATAGATCTCAACATGCAACACTATTGGAAGTTTCTCAACTTGATTGATAGCTACAAACACATTGTTTTGGAAAGCTCTCATTAGCTGCCTCTGACACCAATCTCTGCATATCTCTCAGCTGTCTAGACTCTCGCGTGGCGAAAAAAAAAATGAAAAACTCAAATCAACTCTTCTGCTTATCTTCGCAATGAAATGACCTCCACTTCTTGACGGGTCGACGTTAATAGCAGGTCACTTCCCCGAAGATAATGCATTGAAAATAGCACAACGCGATCTCTCACAGGAGAAACTGTCATCTCGATTACGTATCAGGCAAATAAACCGCGTCAAAGCAGAATAAACAAGTTTTATTTCATTGTTTTATTTAGTCGCCCTGATATGAACAAAACTTTTGTGAAATCGGCTTGTTTTTATATTCATTTTTTGTGCAAGATCCCTCGGAGATGATGTTATTTGTGTCTAGTTAAAAGATCGGAGCATTTCTTTACCAAAACAAACAAAAAGAAAAAATTCGAAAATAAAATAGTTCTATATTTAAAATATTGTCAGCAACGCATTGTTTAACTTTCGTGCCAACAACAAAAAAAAAACAGTATGAAAATTAATGATTAAATTTCATCACTCAGTATGTGACATCATTTGCTGTACAAAAAGTTAACCTTGTCACTGAATGTGACGCTGATCCCTGAAGAATTGTGCGTTTAAATTTCATACTTGTGCGGTCATATCCTGCTATGGCAACAGAAAACAACTTTGATTGAAATTATGAATACGAATAATGCAAATGAGAGCCCTTGGAAACCAACGCAATGAGAAGTAATATTAATAATACAACCTGCGAAAGGTTAATAATACGTTTTGTATATATAATCTGATGTGATGATATAACCCAACTTCCCCATTCACGATAATGGACGGACTGGTTGCCGATTAAGTACGACCACAGCGAACAGTCGAAAAGTCTTCGTTTTGTTAACACCTATTGAGGTTAGCATACTCCCGACTCTGTCTCTGTACTTGACACACCTACATCCGATTATAAACCTATTATTGAAAACCAACACTCGGGTTACTTTGTTTATTATATCTTGCACGAGATATAACATAATCTATCCAATGTTATGTATATTCTTTTTACAAGAAAAAATGAATCAAAATGAAACTGGATAGATTATATATACAAAACTCATTATGAAAAAACACATTATTAACAAAGAATTTCACACACACACACACACAAACACACACACAAATATATATATATATATATATATATATATATATATATTGATTGACCGATTAAATAGGTCAATGTCTCAATATTAAGTATTATAATAAAAAGAAATATAAAAATGAATTTTAAAACTCTCCTTTCCCTCTCTAAACTCACCATGTCTCTCACACTATTACTCACCACCTTCTATGTCAACTTATCTAAGCTTAATACTGCCCGTCAAAAGTGTAAATTTTAAATTCATTTTTCGTTTCACCTTTTGAAAGTGAAGTCTGAAGGATCCAGAGAAAAAATAAAATTCTCTGGTGAAATAAATTTTACAAATGGAACCTTAAAGTGGTCTATTTTTCTTTAAATTAAATTTTATATATATATATATATATATATATATATATATATATATATATATATATATATATATATGCGCGGTACTTAGTGAAAAGAGCACAATATCTGTGAAAGAGCTAACATAATAAGTTGTATGGATATGAGTTTGTGACCCTGGGTTTCACGGTTTTGTGATCATCAGACAAACTGTTTTAATTTTTTCAAATTGGATCTATTTATGCTTGTTTGTATATGTTTGGTGGTGGGAGGGGGGTGATGCCTGTGTTTGTTTACATAGACACATACATACAGGTGTACGCATTTTAGTTTACACCAACACTTCCACATAAGCAATTCGAGACGAGGCGTAGATGAATATCCGTGCGTTTGGGCATACAAACATACAAGCATACATGCATACATATGCAATTGTAATTCTGTTTTGCTGTCGGGATCTTAGCTTTTTATGTGTGACGATGTTCGTTTCAACAAGGAGCGGGTGGGTGGGGGTTGTTCTTGGCGCTTTTTCAGATCGGCCGCATGGGCCGACAGAGAAACTTACATCTCTTCACACACACACACACACACACACACATGTGTGTGTGTAGACGCGCACATACACTATTATTGGTCTGGGCCCTTTCACCCCACCATTGGTTAAACTGGGTTCTCTTTGTGGTCATGGTGATGATGATGTTTGTATTTTCAACCCTAACTGCTTTTGTGTTGTTGGCGGTTGTGATTATGCTGTGATATTAATTATTATAGATAATGTTAATAACAGATATGGATGCGCTAACGGTAAAATTAGCCTTAATAACGGAATTTTAAAAAGGTGGGGACAATAATGACAATCGTAGGTATGATAATAATTGCGGTAAACATGATAATGATGATGATAATAATACAGACAATATAACAATAATGACGATAATAAAAACAATAGCGGTGTTAAAAAGCAATACTGATGGTAGTGGAGTTTGTTATGAAGTGAAAAATTGAAGTGATGGTAGTGTAGGTAACGGTATTGATAGTTTTATCGGTCTTTGTTGATTTTTATGGTGCTGGTCGCTTTGGTACTATTTTTATATATAGTTTCATTCCTGGTTGTGTTCAGTTATGTTGTAATGTTATCTGTATGAATTGTGATAGTAGATATTTATTTTCGTGTCTGCATTTAGAAATTATTTCCGATCTATGATTTAGTAATCCTTTTGTTGAGTGGGGGAGATTATTGCCACTTTTTCGTGTAGACAAAGAAGACATCTCTTTGATATGCTATTATAGGCATGTGCGGCTTTTATGATTTCCCAGATTATTTTTGGAGTGATGTTTCTGTCTTTTAGTTGCCATATGTATGCGGATATTGTGGTGCTGTTGGAGTATTTTCTGTTAAAGAATGAGACGGTGCATTTTCTTTGCTAGATATTGACGTGTTAATGGTAAAATTAGCCTTACTGATGGAATTATAAAAAAAATCCTGGAGGACAATAATGAAAATCTTAGCAAACCAGTTTGTCCGATGATCACAAAAGCGTTAAACCCACGGTCACAGACTCATGTCCATATAACTTATATATATATATATATATATATATATATATACATATATACATATATATATATATATATATATATATATACATATATATATACATACATATATATATATATATATATATATATATTATTTTTTATTCTAAGAGATAATAATAAAAACGTGATGAAAACGCTACACAAAAAACTTCCATGCTTCAATACTATGATTGTACGTCTTCAGTATTACGTATTTAAAAGTAAATAGATTGAAAATTATTTCTATCTCTCCCTTCCTTCTCTAATTTCGTTCATATCTGTCGTCCTCCAACTCCCCCTCTCTCTATCACATTACATCAATCTAAAACTACCCCTCAAAAGCGTATAAAATAATACGTAAATTGAAAACCATTTTTTATGCTTGGAAATGTGATCTGAAGAACCAAGAAAAAAAATCAACTTGGGAAATAAAATATAATCAATAGACCCTTAAGCTTGTCTGTTTCTAATTAAAATAATTTATATATATATATATATATATATATATATATATATATATATATATAGAGAGAGATAGATAGATAGATAGATACGCCCTCTCTTGCAGGTTGATCACTTTGGAAGAAAGGAAATTCGTCGACTGATGCTAGTTAATGCTAAATACTCATCGCTATGAATTGGCCAGTAATGCTTATATTATATCTCGTATATAATGCGTTAAAATGTCCATTTATACACTGCGTGCGATGATAGCCTAAGAGTGAGAGACGGGTTTTGATCGCATGTCTAGCCGCACTGATGAGCTCTGATAGAGCAAAATAGTATGTCTGTAGATGACTATATATATATATATATATATATATATATAGTGTATTAGGACACTGTGTTTCATAACTGTTTATTTGAAGAAGGCCGACTGTATATTTTATATCTTTATTATATTTCGTTGTATACGTACAATTGTCGGCTTTTCGGTTAAAATTATCCTTAGTGCTTTCAGTTGAACCGTTCACCACTTTTCAATTCGTTAACTAAATACAACAGTATTTTAGTATATTTGTATAGCCCTCTCGTTTCAATGCCATCTGGTAATAATTTTTGACGCTTTCGAAAATATGTTCAGAGATTGAATTATAAGCGCTTTATGATTTTTGCTATGTTTTGGATAACGAGTCTTGTGTGGCTTGATTTAATATTGGTTTATTTCCACTGCACTGTCGACGAATTCACACTCGCTTAAACAGTGATATTGAACCCTAAATATATTCTTCCTCACTGAATAATATTTTCAGCTATTATTGATATCTTAGTCATTTTAAGGTCCATGTTGTCACTATTTTGATCTATTTATGTAGTATAATTAGTGCCACGAGTTCACAAAAACAAGCACATCGTTGAAACCCATATGATTATCGAATTTTACATCTTTTAAATTCTTTAACACAATTCTTGTTATAATATCGTAATAAATTACTATAATTTATTTCTTGATCACAAATATCCTTGCATTTCTTGGAGAAATTAATAGAGTAGGTTGGATGTGAAGTATGGAAAGAGATATGGAGAAGAAATTCTGTTGAGGCTTTAATAAAAACGAAACACGTTAAATTTATAAACATTTCCTATTTGCTCTTTATCCTATCATATAAATAATCTTAATATTTAGCGGCCATCGCGTTTTCGTTTTTTATCTTTCTTTTTTTATTCACCCTGCTGTGACCACTTGCTCATGATTCCAGGGACATACCCCTGCTACCCGTTTTCACCTCTCCCTCAATATATTAGAATGCCAGGTGAATAGGACATGGTTTAAAGTTTCTGTGGGCTGCAGTTTGATATAGCTTAACTGGAAGTCTAGCCAGGACTGAAGTTATTTCGGAGGTAGATCTCCGCTATTTTTAACTTTTTGTTGAATTTTTAATGGGCATTTTGAGTTTAAAACCTAGTACCTCT